TAACTTCTTTCTCAGTGATACAAATACAGTCAGTCTGAAGTCAAACGTGAAATGTTTATAGAACAAAGGATCAAGGCTTTGAAAGTTTTCCACCCCAAACAGGGAAGGTGGCTTGTTTCTCCACCTCAAACCGCAGTTAAAATATACATAAAATCAATCAGTGCAATTTATTTAATGAGTAACTAGGCTTTTTAAATTTTAGTAAACAGAATTTTGAAGTACACCTTCAGCTCTTTGCTAGGGTTTCTTCTAGAACTTTATGCATAAGTCAGAAGCCTTAATCATAATCACGTGTGAATTCAGAGCAGCACTATCACCTGCTGCCTGTCTGTGGCTCAATGGCTCAGTGGCTCAGTGGCTCTCAAACCTCACCAGACACATGTGCCCTTCAGAAGAATGTCTGCCATATCATGCCTTAGAAATTTTTATTGTACCTCACTCTTTATATCGAATTTGCAATTACTTTTCAAAAATTGTTTCATACTTCATTTACAATAAGTTACTATAATGTGCACGCCCCAACACATCTGTTTCTCTCCTGTGAATACAGACATCAAAGTATATCCTTAACTTACCAAAATATTTGTCCTGAAATATTCATAGCAGATGTATTAATATTAACCTCTTATTTAAAACTACCTCAATGCTCACCAACAAATACAATGAATAAATAAAACATAACACATTCACACAATAGAATACAATGCATCATTTATAATAAAAATTCTCCAACAGCATACAGAATATGGAGGAAGTTCACAATGAAAGACAGAGTGAAAGTAAGCATGATAAATGAAAATATACTGTGAGTTTCTTCGCTTTTTGTTGCTGTGAAAAAGTGCCGATGAAAGCACAAGGAGGAAGGGTTTATTTTGGCTCACAGTTTTAGAGTTGACAATCCCTTTTTAGCTAGCTTTGTTGTTTCTTTCCTGAAGATAGGAACAATGTAGGAGAAAGTTATAGTTGATTTGTATTCACCTGACTTCAGCCCAGCAGGGTAGAAGAGAGATACATACAACAAATATACTTTTCAACACAAAACCAATATCTCATCTACTTTTCATAACTTCCTAGCAACGCCATCAAATTATGAACCCATTACTAGACTGATGCATTGATGAAGTTAGAGCCCACCAGTTACAATCACTTCTGAATGGCTGGCTCCACTAGCTGGGACAAGTAGTTCAACACATGAGGACATTCTGGAGACACATAACTACGACACTTAGGATTTTAGTTACAACTTTTAAAAGTAAAAATCTTCCATCTGGTAAGAAGTCAAGATAGTGTTTTATTTAGTAATAAGAAGCCGCGGTTAACAAAAGCACTCGGAAGAGGGCTCTAGAGTCTTAGTTTCATGAATGCCCATAGTGAATTTGCACAAACACAAGATGCTGTTGTGTAGCTAGAATTTGATGAAAAGGATTAAAACACATGAATATCTCCAATAAGATAAGAAGCTAATATACAAAAACATGCATCATTAATCTGTACCTCCTCCAGATTTTATTGGTTTTGCCAGTTTCTTACCACTGTGTCCTTTGTACCAGGAAGTTCCATGCAAATGAGTTCTGGTAAACTGATGAAACCTGAGAAGGTTCAGTAGAAAGTATCAGTGTGTCAATACCGCAGTTGGAGGTACAGCCCATTATACTAAAGCAACTGAAGAAAGTGTACAAAGAAATCCTGCATAAAGCTCCTCAAAACTTCCTGTGTATGTATGATCATCTCAATAATTTATTTTTAGTTTTAAAAAAAGAGAGGTGAGTGAACTCAAGAATTTATACTCATTTTGAAAAACTAGATTCTGCCATACACATTTTCAAAAGGTCTATGGTGGAAGAAGGCTATCCTTCTGAAATATCCTAAACAATTTAGAAGGTAAAGTTAGAGAGTATTATGTAAAATACAGCCAAAATTTTAGTATTACTTCAATCCAACAGAGTTTGGAAACAAGGTTATATATTAAACCGGCCATCTTAACTTAAAGATCATATGATTTCCCTGTATTTGAAGATATCAATGATCATTGCTTACTTTGAAAATCTACTTAAAGTATAAAAAGAAATTAACAAAATTAATTTAAGACCTGAATACTAAAAAGCACAAATAAGAGTCATTAAAAGAAATTATTGACCCAAATAAATGGAAACAAATCCCAAATACCTTGAGTGTTACCATGGCAAGATGCTCAAGCTGAACAGACTTGAAAATGATTCCCATTAGAACCCCAAATGTCTTTAATTGCAGAAATTGAAGAGCTGATCGAAAATGCATTTGATAAGTGGTTCAAAAATAACAAAGTCTATATTGAGAAAAAATGAAATTGAAATATACATACTTCCTGATGTCAAAACAGTCTCTAAAGTTATATTTGTCAAGTCAGAGTGGGACTGGCTAAAACTAGAGATAGGGATAAATGGAATGAAACCTCAGGTCCAGAAATAAACCCTTCCTTCCATGTGGAGGGAAAAAAAACTTGCAAGAAATGGGACCAGGATGACTCAGAATGCTAAAGGCTGACACCAGTCATTCCATGGTATAGAAGGTGATGTCAAAGACCACATGCAAATAGATGAACCTGGGGCCTGTAATCATAAGCAACATTTAAACAAGACAAACTTAAAAACTGTGGCACTCTCAGAGGAGAAAAATTAATATAAACCTTTGTGACTTAGAATTATGAAAAATTTTCCTAGACATGAAAACAAAACACATGGAAACAGAAAGAAAAGGAAAGGAAGAGAGAAAGAAAGAAAGAAAGAAAGAAAGAAAGAAAGAAAGAAAGAAAGAAAGAAAGAAAGAAAGAAAGAAGAAAGAGGGAGAGAAAGAAAGAGAGATAAAGAAAAAGGACATTTGAACCTTTCTTTTTTTTTTTAGAGAACACAAAAGTTAAAAAGATGAACATGGACAAGCTGGACAAAGATTCAGAGAGGTTAGAGTATTCATATATTGCTGCAGAATGTAAAATAGCACAGTTACTTTTGGGAAGATTGACATTTCCTTTCAAGCTAAACATACTACATAAAATTACTGTATGAAAGGTTAATTTAACTCCTAAACATATGTCTAAAAATTAAAACCTATGTATACAACACTTGCATGCAAATGTTGATAGCAATGACAATAGAGTGTAAAAACAAACAAAACATTTGCTAACTAATTAATGGGTAAACAAATGTAGCATATCCATATAAAGGAATACTATTCAGCCATAAAGAATGAAGTGCTGGTAGTTGCTGTTAGAAAGGGCTGGTTAAAAAATGTCAAATTATGACTAGTAGAGGGGCATGGGAGGAGAAAAGGGAGGGAGGGCGGGATTGGGAAGGGACAGAGGAGGAGCTACAGCTGGGTTACAGAATGAATAAGTTGTAATAAATAAATAAAAATTTTTAAAAAGGTTAAAAAAAAATCAATCTAGGCCAGGTGCACACCTATTATAATCCCAGCACTCAGAGAGGCAGAGGCTGGCGGATCTCTGTGAGTTCAAGGCTAACCTGTTCTACAGAGTGAATCAAAGACAGAGAAACCCTGTCAAAAGAAAGAGGGAAACAAACAAAGAAACAAAGAACCAATGAAAGAGAAAGAAAGAAAGAAAGAAAGAAAGAAAGAAAGAAAGAAAGAAAGAAAGAAAGAAAAAAAGAAAGAAAGAGAAAGAGAGAAAGAAAGAGAAAGGAAGGAAGGAAGGAAGGAAGGAAGGAAGAAAGAAAGAAAGAAAAGGAAAGCAAAAGAAAGAAAACATCAAACTAAATGAAAACAAAAGCACATAATATTTCATTTGGTCCCATTCATATGAAATATCAATTAAAAGACAATTTTGTAGAGTCCAATAGTAAATTGATGGTTGACATATAAAGAAGGTGAGGGTAAGTATTGACTGATAATAATAAAAATAGTTTCATAAAGGGAGCTTGTAAAAATGATCTAAATTTCTGGTGGTAACAACTACGGAACTCAGCAAAATGTACAAAAATTCTAAACATAAGCTGATTTTTATGTTTTATGAGATTTTGAGCTCAAAACATTTTCACTCTACCTGTTCCCTCATAGGTTGGGAATATGATAGTCACTTTCATAATAAAGTCTGTGCCACTGATATAAAATTATAAAGTCGAGTGATTCTGACTTCTTTCAAAAGTCAATATTACAGGAGGAAAACATCTGATTCTTGACCAGAGGAGTTTCGCTTTTCCAGCAATTTGCTTTGAAATGTCAAGTTGGCGGTGAAGAACTAATCAAAGAAAGCCGCCTACCTCCCAAATCACATCTCTGCACCATGAGTTTAGCTGGTGAAATGAGCCTGCACCGCCCTGTGCTCTTAGATTGTCAATCATCTCTCTGCATTTGTTTTCTTGTTTCGGCCTAACACGTTTAAGATTCCAAGAGGGTCAAAGGGATCCAAGATGTGGTGTGTGGCTTTAAGAGTAACAGCACCGCGAAGATTTGAGTCTTTGTTTACATAACAACCTTCAATTTCTTCCCTCAGAATTGATTTTCAAGGAAGGAGGAAGGAAAGGCGCTAAGTTAAATGGATTCTTTCCAATGTTTATTGAGAGGGATGGGCTTTTATAGGGGAAGAGTGCTGTGAGGACTCAGAGCCTGCTGGTGTGTGGCATTAACACATGAAGTGTCGCTGCAGTCTGTGCTAGGAGATTTCTAACGGCAGTCTGGCAGCAAGGAAAGTGAGACCGTTAGCCAACAGGTTACTGTCAATTAAACAAGAGCTGTCACAAAGTCAGAAATGTTGAAACGCGGTGCGCATGCATCCCGAGCAGATCACATGGCAGCTTCTCAGCTGTTACTTGAACACAGTCGAAGCAGAGATGTGTCATTTCCCTGCAGAATTTAATCTGAGTCCCGAAGGACGCAGCCATTTCTGTCTGTATTTGCATGCTGCTGTCAAGTCAAAAGTGGGCCTTCGAAATGAGCTGGAATGGCGTGTTCCAGTCAGAGAATGACATTGAGCAGATTCACTTCTTGCTCCATTTTCCTCTGCTCAGGTTACATAGAAGAAGCTTGTATCATCCCCTGCCCCTCCGACTGCAAGCTCAGTGAGTGGTCCAACTGGTCCCGCTGCAGCAAGTCCTGCGGCAGCGGCGTAAAAGTCCGATCCAAGTGGTTGCGCGAAAAGCCTTATAATGGAGGAAGACCTTGCCCCAAACTGGACCACGTCAACCAGGTATTTTACTAACATCAAGTGCATTAAGATATGTCTGAGATTTCCAAGGATCTATCATTCTATTATTTCTCCAAAATGAACAAAATTAAATAATAGCACCTGAATAAGAAATATGATTGATTCTATTTTTATAAGGTCTGAATAAATTACCTGTAACCTACTAAAATCTAAAATCTTGAATTATATGTGTTATCTCTGAATTCTCTGGGGATCCCGAATCCTCCAAGCATATAGATAACAATACAATTCCACGGAGGTGGAATGACAACTAATTCACGAATAATGTCAAGGTATTTAATCTACCATAAAATTGTGTGTAATTTCTGTGGTGAGGGGGCATCGCTTCGTTTCCCTAGACTCACAGAAAGAGATCTCAGCTACCAAGTACTCAACGTAAAAGCAAAGAAGTAACACGAGTATGCTCTGAAGGGGAGGGGTGGATGCTATTTATTCATCTCAACCCACTTTGAGTAAAAATAAGTTCAAGAACCATAAGAAACATAAAGGGTGTCTCAGAGTTCACATATAGGCTAGCAATTTGGCCACCGCCTTTATTATCATTGTAGCTACATTAGCGCTGCATGCATACTTCCTTAGCTGCTGTCAGAGGTTGTTATTCGTCTTCTATTGGAGATAAAGAGCGAAATCGCTAATGGCAGAATTGCGATTAACTTAAGTGTAACAGAAAGGGAATTGTTATCACAGTTGATCGGCATGTAAATTAGCAAAGAATGGATTTTACAGAGTGTGTGCAGATGTTATGTTTTGAATTCGAGCCATGATCAAATGAACCAAGTATTTAAATGTGGAAAGCTGTTTCATGTGAACATAGCCGGTCTCATTTTAACCTCTAATCACACTGGTATCAGCAGTTTCCTTCTGACTGTGCTACGATTGTTGATAAAAACAGAATCATAACACATAAAAAGGAAATTTTTAACTAAATAAAAATTAAGACGTTGACGAATTCAATTCCATGGTTAAGTATTCTCAACGAGTCTGAAGTCTTACAAAGTTGCTGAAAAGAGAATAATACATTCTACTATCGCCATCTCCTGGCGGTCGAGCTGCCTTGTCATTGAGCATTCTGCATTCCTAAACTTCAAGTGTTTGTTTCCAAAGAAGAAATTTACTTGCAGAGCTATAATTGAGTAAATGTGAAGTAGAATAGCTGAAGTGACATACTTATGATTCTAAGAAAAATGCTTGTCTACAAGGTAGGAAATCTTGAATTTCCAATGACAAAGTTAGTATTAATAAATTATGATCCAAAGAGAAAGTGTACATATTCTCAATACGTTATGTGTGTACTTGTCCAACTAGTCAGCAGACAATTTAAATATGGCGCTTTTGCCTGAGAACTTCTGTTTGCAAAGGCACATGACCAAGTTACCTGTACTGTACAAATCTCTAGACTAAGACCCTGTCAACGTTACTTTACATCTCTCATGAAACTCAAGACATAATTTGATAAAGACATTTATGTATTGGTTTTCAATCCGTTGTAGGTATATTAAAAGAGTAATAAAGAAAAAAATCAAAAGTAAAGAAGATAGTTAATCATCAAATTTTACATAAAACATATGAATAAGGTAAATATTAAAAATACTCAAGAAAATTAAATATGCAAAATTGCTGTTTAAAAAATATAACGTAAGGATTTTTACTATAATTAAAATTCCTCAGTTAAAATATAGCAGTTTGTTGACTTGAAAGAGGTCTCTGAGGTTGTTTTCTAACTGAAGTTAAGCCCTTGGGTCCTTATTTCACTAAAATTGCATGAATGGATTAAACTGGATTGATGGCTAGAAGGATCTGTAGGTAGGTCAATATATGGATAACAGTCCACTTGTCAGTTGGCTCATAAGATATTTGCAGTCATAGTTCAGTTTGCCGTGACATGGGCTATGACATCTGTTCAGGTTTTGAAGCCTTGCCGTCCTGCACAAGCAATCTTCAATCTTTTTCTTGCTTATGCAATCCTTATCTGCTCATCTTACATTTAAGTCATATGAAATGTTTATCCTACTAAAGACCAAGAAAGACATGCAAATGTTTTACAAAATTAATATTTTATAAAAGTCCTTATAACTGGAACATAGGATGTGAGCTTCTATCAAAATAACTGACATTTTAACCTTTCTTTGTTTCTGTCCTTTACTTCATTCCTGCCAAACATCTCTCCAGGCACAGGTAAGAATTCTTATCTCCTGTATCGTCAGCATTCTTTAAAGAAAATCATTACTTTCTCCATTAGATTTTTCTTTGCCCATTCCCTTTTTACTTCCTAGTACAGTACAAGATTTCTTTATTTATAGGGCCTGAGGAGATGGGGGAAGGTGAATAGGTTTCACCTATGCCGACAATGAGGCAATGGCACCCCTTATTCATACTTGAAGGAGGGACGCGTGGTGGGCTGAAAATGTTTATTTGAAGATGTCTCTGAAATAGTTCACGTTTACCTCAACAAAGGGGAATAATCACCTCTCTATTAAAGGACTGAGAAAAGCAACAGGTCCCCTGCATTTCAGTTCTTTTATTCCCTGTGAGTGGTATGGTGGTGTTTAGCCATGTGATAATAGTCCTGTTTTAACACATCTCCCAAACAAAAATGTGCTGACTGTGTCTCATTAGTCTTATTCCAACCGTGAAAAAATATTACTCTTATTTAGGGTAGTTCTACTTTACATTAGCTTCTAGTCCTCCAAATGTGCCAAAAAATAGCCCCAAATGATGGTTTAAGTCCGTTACCTGGATTTAAAAATGAATGATTACATAAATCATTTATATATTACAGAGTGTGTGTGTGTGTGTGCGTGTGTGTGTGTGTGTAAAATGGGTAACAGAATTGTATTTTCATATATTATAAAAATATTTTAAAATACTTTTCTTTAATGGTTACATTCTTAGTTGCTGTAGACTGTGGTCTATTTATTTCTTCTAATTACTTTCCTCACTGAGAAAACAGTACAATTGGATCATTGTTCTAGAATTCCTGAAACAAACATAATACACAGCATTTGGAACTGAAAGCCTTGTGGACAATAAGCACGAGTAGTTGGCTGTGTTCTGTGAGGCCCTTGTTTCTTACCGCTGTATCTGTGTAAAACTAATTCAAGACCTGTTTCCATACCTCAAGAGATTGAGGGTTAGTTTCAAGATGGGCTTATTTCCATTTATCATTTCAATTTCTTATATGAAAAATGTTATATGTAAAACTGACTAAAGTAGATTTATCTGGAAAGCAGATATGTTTACAGTATTCATTCATTCATTCATTCATTCATTCATTCATTCATTTGACAAATCTCAACTGAATGTCTAGCACATGAGTGTCCTAGGCTAAGAACTAAGGACACACAAAACTTTGAGCAAAATAGATAGTCCAGAAGATTGTAATATAGTGTACTAAAGGTCCGTTTAAGGAAATATGGTTTTTTTTTAACGTTTTGAGTCTAGCTCAGTGGGTGGGATCTGTACCCACTGTGGGAAAACAATGCAGCTACACCTTCCTGACTACACCTCTCAAGAGGATATCTTTCTTCCTACTTGAGAGTACCAACAGTAAGAGGGAGGGATGGAAGGAGACTGATGAAATAGCTACTGTGATGATGGAAGAGTTTCCATCTGCCCGCCCCCACTCTCATTCCACTGCTTGAGATCACCAGATGTGTGTTTCAGGTGTACGAGGTCGTCCCTTGCCACAGTGACTGTAACCAGTACGTATGGGTCACAGAGCCATGGAGTGTCTGCAAGGTGACCTTTGTGGACATGAGAGATAACTGTGGAGAGGGGGTGCAGACCCGAAAAGTGAGGTAAGACCAAGCAGAGTGACAGAAAAGCAACATGGCAACCATCTTCCACTTCCACAGGTGACAGCATGGAAAACCGCTGCCCTCCACGATCCCGACAACCTTCATTAGTTCTGGTTTTGAGGGATCTGGGTATCTGAAAACTGCGGCCCTCTGTTTCAAGCTGCAGTTTGTGCATTCTCAGTACTGACCTAAAAAGCTTCACTTTACAATACTATTTAAAATGATACTTTTAACTTTGAGATTATAATTATATTTCCCCCTTTTTCCTCCCTCCAGAATCCCTAAAATACTCTTTCTTGCTTATTTGAAAATTTATGGTCTCTTTTTTGTATTAATTGCTGTTACGTGAATGATACATAGAACCATGGATTCCTAAATATTTAAGTAATCTGCTTAATCTGCTATGTCTATGTGTTACTTGCATATATGTTTTCTGGGCTGACCATTGAAAATGTGCATTGAAATCAAGCTTTATAAGTATGTATTTTAAGAATCAGTGCCTTCTTAAAAACCAAACATGTTTCTGTTGCATAGATGTTTTTTTATGTATATATACATGTATGTATTCAGGTCAGAGATCAACATCGGGTGTTTTTTCTCACTCACTAACTGCCCTAGATTTTGAGCTAGGGTCTCTCACTGAACATGAGGAGGCCAAGAAGCTCCATGGACGCTCCTGTCCTGTCTCCTAAGTACTAGATTACAGATATGTGCTGTCCCTCCTACTAATTTTGTCACGGGAATGCTGGGAAATGAACCAACGTCCTCGTGTTTTGGTGGCAAGCTCTTTACTTAGGGGATAGTCTTCCCTACCAGAAAACCCAAATATATTTCTAAACACATTTTCAAACACATTCTGCCTTGACTTCTTGCTCCCTTATGTCAGCCTGGCTAACGTTAGGATGCTCACATCCTTCAGGGAGCCCTCCCTGAAGCCCTGGCTGGCTGTTGCCTCTCACTTACTCTAATATAGCAAGAGTCTGCTAAGGTAGCCACTAGTCATGTGTGGACTTTTCAGTTTCACCTTAAGCTAATTGAATAAAGGTTTAAATCCATTTCTTCATTCCTACTACCCATAATGTCAAATTGTCTACAGGCACATGTGGTAATCCTGTTAGACAGCACCGATGGAGAGTATTCTTTTCACCACAAAAAGGGGCCAAAATATAACGATGATAAACCTAGAACTTGACATCAGTACATTCTCATCTATAATTTATCACAAATTTTGGAATTATGTAATGGTGTCCCCTGATCTATTTCAGTAAAAAAAAAAAATTAAATTAACATTAATGTAAAACTTTTTCATATAAAATATGTAGAGCCTTGTTTCTGATTTTAAATAGTTTTCTTTTTGTCTCAAAAGTCCATCTGTGTATTCCATTTACAACTTCCATAGTAGACTATAGATGAAGTCAGGAAGGAAGGTCATGAGTAGGTAGAAAAGGTAAAGGTAAAAACAGAGTTCCTTGTTTCCTACACTTCCAGTTCCAAATTAAAATCTGTCCTTCCAAATTTAAAACTCATTTCTTTTTTGTGAAGAATTTGGTTCAGTTTCCTCATTGTTAGTGAAAAATTAAAATAAAGGGTATGTATTTCATTTTTTTCTTCAACTGTCTGTGTGTATATAGTTCTTTTTGCTTTGTAGATAGATATTTTCAGCATTTCCACACATACCTGAAGCAAAGGAACTTTCAGATCAGCTAATGTACTGAGGTTGATGCAATAGGGAGAGGGGTCAGTATTGATCATGATCTCTGATCCTGTAATAATCTTCCTGTTTGTTCCTGATTGAGTGGAACATGTCACAAACTCTATCCTCTGCTAATTAGGGTCAGTACGTCTTGCTTACATACAAATCTGGACTGACATTTCAGGAGAGATGAGTCTGTAAAATAACAGGTTTCCATTTACCTATTTTCAATCGTCCTCATTTAGGAGGGAACAGAAGGTAAGAAAGTGGGTAGTAGAAGTGGCTCTTCCTAATAGGAAATCCTTCCTCCCCTGCTTCCTTCCTGCCTGCCACCTTTCTTCCCCTCTTCCTCCCTCCCTCCTCCTCTTCTCTTCTTCCTTCCTTTCTTCTATATTTCTTCCCCTTACCCTAGAGCTAGGAATCAAGCCAGGGCCACAAGTAGGCTAAGGCAAAGAAAAGGGCAAGATGTCAGTGACATTTTTGTTTTATAAATTTTATGCCCGTGACGACAATAAAATAAAATGAGAGGCATTTATAGTGGCTGTTACTGTCGCTGTTGTCTTCCGTGCAGAGACTCCACGCTTTATTCCCTTACCTGCTATGAGGCTGATGCTCTTTCTTCTTCACATCCAAAGAGGCCATGCATTCTGTATTTCTAACATATTCCACTCATCAAATTCTTGCTCTTTGAAAAAAATAAGAAAGCGGAGGCTATGCAGAAAACAAATTTAAAACGTATTCCTCTGGGCTTAAACTTGATTCAAATATCTATTCTGAATTCTAGGTGCAAAGAAATATTATTGCCAAATAAAACAAATCCATATCTTGGTAGGTAGAATTTGTTCCAATCTATGAAATGAAAGTATGTTTAAAATAATAATCTATTTTAAAATAAATGAGGTCTGTTCAAAGAAGTTACCACTGGTAGATTTGAAGTTTATTATTTATTATTATTTTAGTTATTTGTACAATGCGAAATTAAGAAAGATAAAAGCTTTATTGATAAAGTTACGTATACATAGCTCCCTAATAGGGTATTGGACATCTGTGCTTAACTTGGATCAATAGGCAATTTTACAAGATAAAAGCCTGTGTGTTGCATCAGTATCTGCGAGGAATGTGATTTCAGTACCAGTTCCTTTTCTGAACATAGAAATGCTTGGCCTGTCGTTGTCTGCACCAGGCCACTGTTAAAAGAATATGTTTAAAATGCTACTGCAGAAAGAGATTTTTCCTATGCAACTGAAAACTCTTTTAAAGAAATTTGTAACTTAATTTTTCAGCGGTAAAAACACCAAATATCTGCTGATTCGTTTTTTATGAAATTATCTTTTTTTTTAAATTTACAGAGATTAGTATTTAGTATAGTTTTTTTTCCAGATTATATACCCAATCAAGACGCAACTAATGACAGTTCTCTAATCTTTCAATGTGTCTCACTTAACAGAAACATCTTTTTACATTTTGGTATCACTATAAACAGTAACTCTTCAGAGTGTATCTTTAAAAACAATGTTATTCCTCACTGAAACTCTCTACAAAAAGATGGGATGAATCATATGTGATATGATTCAGCCAGCTGCTTAGAACACTACAATGGCCCTAAGAGGAAAAGCCCATCTTCCCTTTTATCTTCCCATGGGGAACTTTCTTCCCAAACCCATTAATTTGGTTGATCTTTCTTACATTATAGATTAAGGATCAAGGTTTTTCTCTTCTAGTACTAACGTTCACAGAAAGATTATTAACTACTGTATTAGGAAGCCACATTAATCAGCTTCTCAAGAGGTCACTAAAGAGTTAATTCTTGGCTGTTCACAATGGGATAATATGAACAAAGGTTTAAATTTGTTCTAGTAAAGAGCTAACAATTAAGAAAAAAACAAAATAGAACATATAACTAACCACACTTAGAGAAGTTGTGCTGTTCTAAGTTTAATTTTGTTTTGGTTTCTGGTGTTCTCTTAAAGTTAACAGAAAACTAAAATTGCCTTCGTAATGGCTTTTGAAACTAATTTTACTTTATTTGTGTGTACAACACAAACAGATACACACACACACACACAACTGTGTGTGTCACAGTGCCCATGTGGAGGTCAGAGGACAATTTACAGGATTAGCTCTTTCTTTTCTACCATGGGAATTGTAGGGATTGAAACCAGGCCATCGGGGTTGATTGAAAATGCCTTTACTCACTGAGTCATCTTGCTGGCAGCTAAAATTAGTTTTTGTGTGACAAAACAAGCTGATAAATGTCTTATTTTGTAAATCACCTTATGAAACATTTTGTGTAAATACTGCACTGTACCTAAGTCTCTATCATCAATGAATCAATTGTGTCTTCTCTGAGACTCACTGAGGACCATTTTTCAATAGTTCAGGTTCCATGTATGGGTGTAAAAGTCACTTTGCTCATAAGAACACATGATAAAAATTATCAATACAATGAAGCCATCTAATTAAAATATCAGGAGATTGCAAGTGAGTATATGTTTTTCTTTTAATCTTAGAGAAATGCTAACTATATTTAGAGACATGATTTCTTTTGACTCTTCACTTTGGGAGAATGTTACTTATCGATGATATCTGAATTAGAACTAGCCATCCTGTGTGCTAGCTGTCATTTTGATTGTGCTGCTTCCTTTGCTGATGTGCATGTTTTCCCTTAGATGCATGCAGAATACAGCAGATGGCCCTTTGGAACATGTGGAAGATTACCTGTGTGACCCAGAAGACATGCCCCTGGGCTCCAGAGAGTGTAAACTGCCATGCCCTGAGGACTGTGTGATATCTGAGTGGGGGCCGTGGACCCAGTGTGCTTTGGTGAGACTAGAAACTATTTGGGTAAAATGGAGTTTGTTTAATTTTTGAAGGATTTAAGATTAAAAAAAAAATGACTTTATTTAAAGCATCACTTTTTCTTGCAACCTCTTTGCATGGATTAGCCATGCCAATTCAGCAATGTTTGTGAAACAGCTTGAGTTCTCCTACGCTCTCTGCTCCTTTTCAACAATGCTTCAACACTAGCATATGACACCTTCAGCTGGCCTTACAGATAACACAGCGTGTTAAAAACTGCAGTGGTCATAATAACTCCCTTTAAAGTGAGGAAAGAATGAAATTCTAGTGGAGGTACTTTAATGATGTCAGCTTGCTATCCCTTGCTTCTTGCTGAGTCTGTTTAATTTAAACAGTAGGAACATTCTTCCTCACGGGGAAATGCTGCAGCAGAAGTATTGACACCAGATCAGAGGAGATTGGACGCATTCAGGTTGGGATGGCTGTAGTCTGAGTGTTGACACCAGAGAGTTAAATATCCTGAGTAAGAAACTGAGAAGGATGAGATTACACATGGTGAGACCTAAAATATTCATCAGAAGTGGTTGTGCATGGATATTTAAAAACAGAACCAAATGATCATAGGTTCTATTCAGTGAACTTGCCATTAGTATCCCTGTAGATGAATATAGTAGCCACCGATTTCAACAGCTCTTATTTTATAAAAGCATCACGCTGGAACAGAATTTGTGACAATATGAATATCATCCAGGGAATCTGCTTCTTCTTCAGAAGAAAAAGGTCACATGCTAAAACTGTACCTCCCTTGAGCATCTCTCTGCACCACGTCTCATCAGTACCTGGCTCATAGAGGAGGGTGGCGGATGCCACTTCCTTTGCAATGAAAGTTCACCTGTGTATGGTCAGGGTTCTCTAGAGTGGCTTTCAAGCTGTGGGATCTGACCCCTTTGGGAGTCACGTATTAGATATCCTGCATATCTGATATTTACATTACAACTCATAAGAGTAGTAATATTACAGTTATAAAGTACCAGAGCAGTAATTTTATAGTTGGGGAGGGTTACCACAACATGAAGAACTGTATTAAAGTGTTGCAGAATTAGGAAGGTTGAGAGTCACTGCTCTAGAGAAACAGAGCTCATAGAAGGAATGAATATATATTGTTATGAATAAATATACTATTATATAATAATATATTATTATATACTATATAAATATTCCTTTGGTAATTCATAATTGTAATTTTCTACTGTTATGAATTATAATGTAAATGTCATTATGACGTGAATTATAATATTTTATATTGATACTATATGTAGTATATAGATATACTATCTGTAGTATATATTAAATATATATTTAATGTATATTAAATAATATATACTATATACAAGTATACAGTATGTTAATACTATATACAAGTATATTAATACTATATATAGTATAAATACACACACACATATATATAGGCGATATATATATATATTAGGCTCTAATGCCAGCGAAGGGGTGGGTGGACTTGGCAAGAGCAAGCATGCAAAGACAATGCTTCCTTCTAATTTCTTTATATAGGTCATCAGCAGAAGGTGACATCCAGATTAAAGGTGAAACTTCCCACTTTAAAAGATCTGTATTAAAGGTGTCTTTCCAAATCAAAGATCTGGATAAGAACAGGGTCTTCCTACTTCAAATAATTTAATGAAAAGAAAAATACCTAGCCAAATATGGTGGTACATGCCTTTGATCCCAGCGCTAAAGAGGCAGAGGCAGGCAGATCTCTGTGAGGACAAGGCCAGCCTAGTCTACAAATTGAGTTCCAAGACACTGGTTATACAGAGAAACCATATCCCAAAACAAAAACAAAACAAAAGACAACAAAAACCTCACAAGTGTGTCCAGCCATTTGTGTTTTAGTTAATTCTAGATGTAGTGAACTTGACAACCAAGAATATCCATCACAACCTGACATTTACATGTAATCTGTGCTTTACACACCTTGAAAGCCAGATGAGTTGAAAATAAAACAGAGCTCTAGATTTGAATAGCAGTGAGGACCCTACCACCCACCCAGAGGATGGGAATCACCTGAAAAAATGTGCAGAAAAGTTAGTGTCTCGGGGTTACAATTGCTGTGCTGAAACACCATGACCAAAGAAAACTCGGGGAGGAAATGGTTTGTTTCACTCACACTCATACCGCCTTATATCAGTTCATCACCCAAAGCAGTGAGTGCAAGAATTCATGAAGAGCAGGACCCTGGAGGCATGGGGGAGTGCTGCTTATTGGCTCGCTCTCTCTGACTTGCTCATCCTGCTTTCTTATTAAATCCAGGACCACAAACCTAGGGATAAACCTGCCAGCAATAGGCTAGGCCCTCCCACATTCATGACTACTTAGAAGAGGGGGATAGAAAGACCTGGAGGGGATAGGAACTCCACAAGGAGAACAACAGAACTGAAAAAACTGGGCCCAGGGGGGTCTGCAGAGACTGATACTCCAACTGAGGACCATGCAAGGAGAGGACCTAGACCTCCTGTTTTAAGGCAGCCTATAGACTGCTCAGTTTCCAAGTGTGTTCCCTAGTAAGAGGAACAGGGACTGTCTCTGACATGAACTCAGTGTCTGGCTCTCTGATCACCTCCCCCTGGGGGTTGCAGCCTTGCCGGGTCACAGAGGAAGATGATGCAGCCAGTTCTGGTGAGACCTGATAAGCTAGGGTCAGATAGAAAGGGAGGAAGACCTCCCCTATCAGGAGACTAGGGAAAGGGCATAGGGGGAGAAGAGGGAAGGTGGTGGGATTGAATGGAGACAAGGGAGGGGGCTGCAGCAGGGATACAAAGTGAATAAATTGTACTAAATAAGTTAATTAAATTAAATTTTAAAAAAAGAAAGTCTACAGGCTTGCCTACAGCCCCATCTTACAGAGAGGCCTTTTCTTACTTGGGGTTCTGTCCTCTCAGTTGACTCTAGCCTGTGTCAAGTTAACATAAAACTATCCATAACAAGCTGTGAAAAAAAAAAAAGGAAAGATATGTCTAATGGTAAACTGTTTGAATTACAGTAAAGGACAGCTTCAGGCATGTTTATAGTCCATGTTTTCCAAGAGAGTTGCTTTTTTATCTCTGTGTTAACATTGTTAACATGCTAAATAGTGAACAACTCACTTCGGAAGCAAAGCAGGACCAATATATCACTTGAACAGATGTTGAAAGAAGGGTGAAGGTGCTTCATAAGAGTCGGCAGATGAGTTTCTGTTTTAATTCTGCCGTTGAACTACACTCTACAGTGCCTAACTCTGTTTGTGATTGTGGAATTCTTGTCGTCAGAGATTCTGTTAAAAGAATATTCAGCTTTTATAAAACAGGGGCTGATGAACTTGGGCTCCTCCTGAAATTCCTTAGCAGGGATTCCAATAACAAGAACCACTAAACAGGACTGTGTCCATCTGGGTTCTCTTTTAGATACCCAGAAGGAACCATCCTAGAAAAACATTAATTTCTAGCATGTGTGTGCAACAAGAAACAGTTTCTGAAACATGTTTTATTTCTGTGAGCATTTTCCAATAGAAATTTTGGAATGAGACTAAGATTCAACTAGGTAAACAGGTGTGCCTTTTTAACTTTATAAAATGTCTTGTTTCATCATCCAAGACATCAATAAACAAACTCAGAGCATTTATTGTGTGTAAAGAACTGTTATGTCCAAAGAATATGTAGCTATAGAAGACAAAAGTCACTAACATATCACCCTGGAGATGATAGCAAGACCTTTATACAATTTGCATTTTCTGAATATAGTAAGTATTCCTTCAGTGGTGTGAGCAAAATACAAGAGCTGAGGACAAGGCAATAACTATTTTAGGCCTATGACATCCAAAATGGTTTGTCCCTTTCTATTCCATTTTCTGAAAGATGCACCAGTAAAAAAAATAGCCAGCCACTCTATAGATGTTAACTAAATTGTCCATGTGAGACTGTGCATTAGGAACATAAAAGTTAGTAATGCCTACATAACTATTGAAAGTCACCATTTAAATGGTTTAAGTCGTTTTAAAACAGATACATTCTTACACACATGCATTTACATATGTACACATCATCACAGCCTACGGGATTAGCTTTCTGCTTTACGGAACATGGCCATATGAATGTTTTTATAGGTGTGAGGGGTTTATATAGCTTTGAGGTAATAACATAAGCATCTCCTAGCTAGGATGTGGAGTCAGATCCTTAGTCAATGCCTACGTTTTACATATTGGAAGGCTGAACCATAATGACACTACTTGGCTTGTTCAAGTTAGCCAGTGAATTCGGCTCTTAACACCAGGTCCAGTAACGTTCTAGCTGCTGTATGGCTGAGTTTATGTTTCTGAAAATGTCATTGTTCTTTGTAAGCCTTGCAATCCAAGTGGTTCCCGGCAAAGGTCAGCTGATCCCATCAGACAGCCTGCTGACGAAGGGAGAGCCTGCCCCAACGCTGTAGAGAAAGAGCCCTGTAACCTGAATAGAAATTGCTACCACTATGATTACAATGTCACAGGTAAGCACTTCATCGTGTCTGAGGCTTATTCCCACCTGAGTCCGCTCCAGACATCCTCAGCCTAGACCAGCTCCACCTGGGTGCCATTTGGAGACGCAGCTTATGCTCTGAGAAATAGTTAGTAGCACACGACAGAAATAGTTATCAGTTTCATTTTTTAGTAAGCATGAATGTATAGGAAACAAAGGTTCCACAAAGACTAAATTTTTGAAGTATGTAGTATATATTCCAGATAATCCTATTTAAAATCTGCTCTCACTTTGGAAAGATGAAGAAAATTTCTTTTTTAGCAGAGGTTTGATTGTTATAACATCTACATCAATAAATCTTGGGATGCAGGGATATTTATGAACAATATTAACATAATATAAAATGTCCATAATCTTAAAAACAAATATTCAGAAAAGTAGATTTGTGATAAATCGCATTTGTTTCCTAAATTTTATTTAATATTATCAAAGCACACACATCAAAAACATTTCATTGGTTCACATGGGTTAGTACAACATCAAAGCTAACTAGATTTTTTCCCCAAGTAATTTCCCCATTGAAACAAGCTCAAGGAAGAAAGGAAGAAAGGAACATAGCAGTCTTGTTGGCTTCTGTCTCTTGGTTTTCTTTAATTTTTTCTTTGAAGCCACAAAAGAAATCAAAGTTCTCCAGGGTGTGTTGTGCTGTCTTGGAGAAAGATGAAAGAGCATATTTTTATTTGTGAAATAAATGAGTTTGTTTTTTTGGTTTTTTGGTTTTTTTTTTTTTTTTTTTTATAATCCTATTTACCAGCTGGGGTGGATGGGAATGGAAGTTCCCTTTTTTTTTGAGGAATAGGCAAGGGAAAATGTGGGAGGAAGGGTGGTGGGATTGGGAGGGAAGAGGAGGGATGGGGCTACAACCAGGATGTAAAATAAATAAAAATAAATAATTTTTTTAAAAAAAAGAATCCTATGGAAATAAGTGAAGTACATAGTGTTAATATAACTGCACAGAGTACCATCCATTAAAATTATGCTTACTTTGCTAAAAGAGACATAATGGTTAATATTTTATTTCTACTCTTCTCAAGAAAAAAGTTTTGAAATGCTATTGATCTATACAGCAAAGCCATTTTCACAGTATCGCTAAATAGCAAGCTGTCGGGATTGTCAAGTAGACACGTGCCTAAAAGTCCCATCCGTGTCGCTATGTGCAACCACAGCAACTCCACTTGACTCCTAATCCATTCATAGCTGGGGCCCATATGCTCCGCACATGGGATGATTGATGGAGGGGCTCAGGAAGCAGTTGTGAATTAGATATGGGATCCAGGCCATCAGAGTTCCATCTGAAATCTGTTTGGTGCATTGCCTTCTGTTCCGATGAGTCTTTTCCATGCAGACTGGAGTACATGTCAACTGAGTGAGAAGGCAGTTTGTGGGAACGGCATCAAAACAAGGATGTTAGACTGTGTTCGAAGTGATGGCAAGTCGGTGGACCTGAAATATTGTGAAGAGGTGGGTGAGTGCTGCGTTGAATCTTTGAAGGCCTTTCTTCCCCAGTAGCTTAAATCTGCATGAAGCCAAGTGACGTTCGCTCCACACACAGCACATGGCCAACAGCTGTTTTCACAGGCTGTCTAGTGCCCTCTTGAAAAGAGGCAGTATCCACGCTACTGATTTCCACAGACAATTTCCTGTGTTTTGTTCTGCTTGGAGCCCAAAGGTATGCTAATTAGACCATTCTGGAAGAAATGCTTAGGAAACAATGAGCAATCAAGGTGAATAAAGGCTATAAATCTTAATCAGACCATTCATCATCTTTTGTAATCTGATGTGAATCGGGTGCAGAGCTTGGACACCTGCCAAGATCCATCACTTATTTTTTTTTTCTGTTGCTAAACATTGATCACGTGCAGTTTCGTGGCAGATTTTGATATTAATATTTGATACCCAGCTGTGAGAATCTAAGTACTTTGGTCTCCTCTGAATACGAGAGCTTAACGTTCAAGCGAAGCCATGAAGTCTGCCACTGCTATCTTTAAGACTACAAGAACTGTAGTCCGTAGTTAACCCTCGACTGAAAGCAGTTCCATTACTCTTAGCTGTGACCTTCTGAGCAGTAGAGAAACTTGGCACTGACCTTTCTTTCTTTTCATAAAGCTGCACTTTGCGTTGTAGTGATTCTTGTCCGATTTCCAAACCAAAAAGGTAATGGCGTTTCTGTCGTTTGACTCCCTGTGCCTCTGAGATGCACAGGGTAATTTTTGCTTCAATAGATCTCAAAAAGAATTGTCTTCACTCTTAAGGGAAAGCACCAGTGGAGCTACTTGAACCCACTTAAAGTCATTGTCAAGTGCATGTAACGTCAACTTCCTCACATCTCTTTACAGAGGTAGACTTCCAGAGGCTCTGAAAACACCTAGTTGTTTAGTCAATAAATGCCTCTCAGTAAACTCTTGTGACATGAATCGACCTATTCCTATGTTAGATTAACGTAAGTTAAATTCAGGTTTTTAAACTATGCCCTTTAAGCAATATAACCAACAGTAAACAGTGTTTTTGTGGGTGAAGATGATGACAATGATCACAAACTTCCCAGGTGAAGATTAGGACAATAATCACAAACTTCTGTGATCTCGCTCAAGCTGATGGTTAGGGTAGTCTCTTTTGCAAATTCCTGAGGAAGTTCCCTCCTTACAGAAACGTGAAATGAGACCTCTGTGAAAGCAGAGCCCAAAGCATTGGACACTATCATAAAGCATTTCATATCTTGTGAATTATGCAGGGACAACCGCAGGTTCAAATCATAACATCCTGGCAAATGTTGTTTTCGGGGAAAACTAAGCTACCCTCTGCGGGAATTACACAGTATACATACCATTTTATGCATCCCTGTGATTCCAGCTGGTTCCTTGAACAACAGAGCTCTTTGTAAACAATGGTCAGACCACCTACCTATCAACCCCTGTGCAAACACTGCATTCAGTTCAGCAGCAGTAGGTAGCTCTTGCTGCTTCTCTAATAGCCACAAAGAAATGTGCCATTACTGCCCAACTAAGAGGAAAATTAGGGTTAACTTCGCTAGCATTCATGTAGTATATCTTTTCCCTTTGGTGTTTTTGAGATTTTTTTTTTTTTTGCAAGAACAAAGAGCCTTTATTTCTGGCTTAAGCTGGGACCCCCACCATCCATCGCAGTGGATTAGGGAGGGGGGTCCCGTGTAGCTGCAAAGCTGAGTTTTCATTATGGTTTGAGCAAGGAACAGGACTTTCCAACTTCGGCAGTTAACAATTGGCTTGCATTTAGCAGAAGCAAGCTTGTCATAAACTAGTTGGTGCTGACCTAGAGGACAGGGGGACTTCATGGAGCCTAATCATTTGTGTCTTCTTTTCTATTCTTTGAAATCTAAGTATATTTTTTAAAATTTATTTAAAAACAAATATATGAATTGATGGTTTGATTTAGACAGAGGATTTGCATAGGTATATGCATATCTATGTGTATATAAAAATAATTTATATCTGGAAGATAAAATTATGGATCTATATGTTGATAATATTTTTTATTTTAATAGGTAGATAGATGGATAGATAGATAGATAGATAGATAGATAGATAGATAGATAGATAGATAGATAGATAGATGAAAGGAAAGACAGACAGAGTAAAAAGGTAAAATAAATAATCAGGCAGGGGAAAGAACAGAGTTTAAAAGTCTAATTGATTGCCAAAACACTCTCTAATGAAAGAAATCAATAATAGTTGATCATGTTTTAAATACTCTCTCCTGAAACTACAGCATATCATAAATGTTACCCTTTAGATTCACCAGAACACTGTAAGAACTATCTCTCCACCCTCTTGGTTTTTTGGTTTTTTTGTTTGTTTGTTTGTTTGTTTAATCTTATGAGGCTTTTAGTGACACAGATTAGCTTTAAATCCCGAATACTCAAAACTATCCAGTATATCTAGCATAGAATATAGTAAGTGCCTGCTGAGTGATGGAGTGTACAAATATTTAGATCTGATCCTCACACTGAATAACATACATTTAAATAAAGCCGAAACACATTGCAGTGCTTAGAAAATATTTCTTTTGTTATCCTCTTGCTATTTGAGTCTAAAATACAAGTGTGGATATTCATATCAGCCTACAAAACATTAGCCTTCATTATGACATTTTCCTTACTTTCTCGGATCTTGTTATCTCTTTTACTCGTCCACCCCCAGTGGCCTCCTTTGCTCTTTTATGTCACATGTGTCCCTTCCCTTCGTCAACATATCTTGTTCCCTTCTTGTAGTTTCTTGTCTGATTCCATACTCTATGGCTATTCTCATAACCACATATTGGCATATGTGCAGATATTAAAGTGTAAACTTCTTTTCATATAAAAGAAAAAGGTTTTGACAGCTCTGAGAATTACTGAAAAATGTTATTCTCCCGCTATAATATTAATATTTATATTTCAATGCTACTTTTTACATTTGATTTCACTTCAAAGGTTAGACTATATGGCATATGAATTTGACTTTTTTCTTGTACTTTTAAACTATAATACGTAAGTCACAATGACAAGACCAAACTGCACATAAAATGGTACATTATGAGAGGCCAAGCACCTACACACACACACACACACACATACACACACACACAAATAAATAAAATAAAATAAATCAAACACAGTTAGTGAGATAAACCTGAGAATGTAAATTTTTGTCAGTAATTTATATAAAACAATTATATTCAAAACATTTCTGAGGACCCACATTTCCTTCAGAGAAAGTTGGCTTACTTCGCAGATATTTCTATCCAGGTATGGTGATACAACATCTGTAATTCAAACTGAGGCAGGAAGATCACAAGTTCAAGGCCAGCACTTCAAAAAGCATTTCAGGACACTCTTCTCTACACAGAAAAAAACTCCATCACCAACAAACAAAAAGTCAGTTCATTCATTCATTCATTCATTCATTCATTCATTCATTCATCCATTTATTTATGTGTTGGTGCTGGAGACTAAATCCAGAGCCTTCTAGCTATCAATCATGCACTCTATCACTGAGCTACATCCCAGCCCACACACGGTTGTTATATTTTTTCAGTACGTTCTACCTTTAGTTTTAAATGGTAGTTTGTGTTTAGAGCCATCTACCTATTCAATACAACTTGTGTACCTAAAAATAAGTAATATCTGGAAGATAAAATTATAGATATATATATTGACAGTATTTTTTATTTTGAAATATTACAAAGCAGTTTTATCTATTTTTATCTATACTTTTTTATTCTTCATGTAAGGACATTCAATGTACTTGCAGAATGAATTTTTATTATTATGTATGGAAAATGTTAACAGAAACTATAACTGTAGTAGAGTCAGTATGCCCCTGAATTCACTTTCTGCCTTGTCTCCTCCTGTGTTGGGCTGAACCATTTTATAACCTGAACAGTTTGAATAATTGTTGTCCTTTTATGATGTAGTTTTTATGATGCCATGCAGCTTTCTTCTGCTCCTTTGCTCTCATTCTCTCTGCTTCTCTCTAGTTTCCTCTCTACATTTCCACTGCTTTCTACGCTCTATTCTATGCTTTCCTCTCTACCTTCTCGTCTCCCTTGTCATGTCTTTTTCCACTGACAATACTGGTGGCTCTGTGTCCCTGCCCACACAAACATCTCTGCCTCTCCTCTTTCAGCTTGGCCTGGAGAAGAACTGGCAGATGAACACATCCTGCACGGTGGAATGCCCTTTGAACTGTCAGCTTTCTGACTGGTCTCCTTGGTCAGAATGTTCTCAAACATGTGGACTCACAGGTTGGTTTGTATTGCAATGAGTATTAAGCTAATGGTAAAGCCACTTAAAAGAAAACTTTTCTCTTGCACCTATCTGTAGCATATCTGATAAATTATACCTGGTATGCTACAGATAGGTGTCTTCCTTCCAAAAACATGTGAGCTTCTCCTGCTCTGGGTCTCCTCAAGAGAGACACCTACGCTACCCTTTCCAAATGTGTATCTGTTTGTACAACTATGGCATCACACTCCAGTTGCATCGTTTTATCTCTTTAAAGGAAAAATGATTAGAAGGCGAAGAGTGACCCAGCCCTTTCAAGGTGATGGGAGGCCCTGCCCCTCCCTGATGGAACAGTCCAAGCCGTGCCCAGTGAAGCCATGCTATCATTGGCAGTATGGCCAGTGGTCTCCATGCCAAGTCCAGGTATAAAATCTCAGCAAGCTGTGTAGATGCCTGCGTTCTTCATCCGCAGAGACTTGGTTCTAGAACTATTTCCAAGTTAGAGGTGGTCGGTTTCCACATTAACATTTTAGTGACTTTGCCATTTCCCAGTCCTTTAATTAGTTTTGATACCAAGCACCCCCTGTCCTACACTTTTAAAATCATTTGGAGACAGATTCATTTTAATGAAAATTTATTTGCCTGTCTTTGTCTAGGAAGCAAATAAATTGTTCAGTGTATGCTTTATAGCTTGTGCCCTATAAGGCTTCTTCCCTGGGGTTTCCAACACTTCTCTAGCTATTCATAAATCAAAATCAACGATGCACAGATGACTGCAAGCCGCGAGCTCTCTAACGAATTATTTTTCTTTTTCTAATTAGCCATTTCTCCCTCCATTCCAGGAGGCCCAGTGCGGAGAAGGAACCAGGACAAGGAACATTTCTTGTGTAGTGAGTGATGGCTCAGCTGATGATTTCAGCAAAGTGGTGGATGAAGAGTTCTGTGCTGATGTTGAGCTCATCATAGATGGTAATAAACACATAATTCTGGAGGAAGCTTGCACCCAGCCCTGCCCAGGTAAGAACAGAACATAATTCATATTTTGGAGATATTTTCCTAGGACCAGAGTCAAAAAAACGTTATGTACATAATCCACGTGAAGAAAGTCAACAATATTTTTCAGTTATATCTGTACTAAAATCTCAATACTATACCTGTGGGTCAGAGGAGCACTACATTACTTCAGGGAATAAGGTCTTTAATACCTTATTAAAGGTATCAAATATTAAAGTATTTAATATGGTATTAAATGGCTGTATCCCAAACCCTCTAAAATGTGTTTTGAAAACTACACAAATTTGACACAGTAAGCTTTAAAGAGTAGAATATAAATTAGGAGAAAACATTTTTTCATCTTTGACTTGTATTTTGTAAATTTATTATTCCAATAGATTCGGTCAAAATAGAAAAGTATATTTACTACAAGGAGTAATCTCTAACTCTCTCCTTTCTGTCTTTCCTGCCCCCCCCTTTTTATACCACATGAGTCTACTTTGTAGTGGACAACTATTCTAGGGTGTGAGGGCTACCCTAGTGTGTGGCTCATACACGAGAGGTCACACCATTAAAGAAAACTGGCTCTGCCTTCCCCAGCATCTACCAAATGCCAATAATTCTTCAGATAAGGGTGGATCTATATTCCCACTTCCCTGCCCCTCTATGCTGGAATTTTGTTTGCCTTGACTTTGGCATGTCTTGCGCGTTCATTCACCATCACTGTGGATTTTACATGTACATCTACCCTATTTCCTTGAAGTCATCCACCAACTGTGAAACTCACCAACTTTCCACACCATTTTCTATAAAGATACCTGAACCTTGAAGGGAAGAATATAATATAGGCATCCTATTTAGTTTAAGGCTGAGCAATCCAAAGTCTCTTATTCTTCATAATTTGCCTATTTGTGGGCCTTTATTAATCGCCATTTACTTCAGGAAGAAGCTTTTCTGATTAGTGTTGACAGATGTAATGGTCTGTGGAGACAGCATTCAGTAACTAGGAGTCATTTTAATACCGTATTTATTTAGCAGAATAATAGTATAGGGACAGTTCCCAGAGGGTAATAATAATATTGTCCAATATAATGCTATCCTATATGTGCATATGGATAATTTTTGGATTGCCAGGATTTCTAGCCTATGACACAAGAACTTTTTTCATTAATCACATCTCTTAGCAATGCTGGGTAGTCTAGTCATACCCAGCATAAGTGATGGATGAAATATTTAAAGTGGTAAAGCCCCTTGTGGGGTCATCTTCACCAAAATTAATGCTGTCACTAAGCAAGTAGTTAGAAGTTGAATGGAAGATAGTTTGTGACCGACATGTTTCACTAAATCTTCCTTATTCTCAAAAACGGTAGAAATATGTTGAATACATGGATCCATGATACAATTCTATTCCTATGCAATGCATATACTCAACAAATTCACACATGTAACATATATGTTCAATACAAGCTGTGCTTCAATAGCCACAAGAGTTTCAAAATAGAACTACTTAAACATACAATAAATTTCACAAACATGAGTGAGTGAAAGATGATGGATGCAAAAGGTAAAACTTAACAATATATGATAAGATGCGATGTATAACATGGAGGATTTCTGAGATTCTGGGAACGGTCTGTTCTTGATTAAATGTTGATTGCCTAGACATATAATCAGATTGTAGAAACTTACTGTGAATTTATGGTATTTAACATTTTCCATGTACTACATATTTTCCTCAGAGGGTGTGTTGTCGATTAAAGATGTATATTAGAAGAAATATCCAGTGTCAGTTCCAATATCAACTTCTCACTAGCCTGCCTCAGCTGAACTCCTCTGGGAAGAAAAAAAATGACATATAAGCATGGGCTCTCCCACCTTGAATTTCAAGCCTATTTAAATTTATGAATACCTAGAGACACGTTCTATTGTTAAGTTTTACTGGCCCCCTTTACAATAACAACAAATGTCATGTTAGCTTTTAACCAAATACTATCTAACTATCTATCTATCTATCTATCTATCTATCTATCTATCTATCTATCTCTTAGGAAACATTCTTCAAACTCCTTCAGGCCATAGCTTCTGTTTGATAACATTAATTTACCCAGAGACCACCCAACTACTCTAAATAACATATTTACTACCTATAAAATGATAATTATTATGTTTATCCAAATATCATAAATATCATGTATAACTAGCACTTACAAACATGGACCAACTCGGTGAGACTCAAAATGAGTGTCTTCATCACAATTCCCTATGGCTCTAAGTTAACGAACTGTTTCATACAGGTGACTGTTATTTGAATGACTGGACTTCATGGAGTCTGTGTCAGTTGACCTGTGTGAACGGTGAGGACCTTGGTTTTGGTGGAATACAGGTCCGATCCAGAGCAGTGATTATACAAGAACTGGAGAATCAACATCTGTGCCCAGAGCAGATGTTAGAAACAAAATCATGTGATGGTGAGTGTTTCAATTCATGAAATCCATTCATTTGGTTTGTTGAATTACTGAAAATTTTTAGATTTCTATTTACAGTTGAGAATTAAAATAAAAGTAAAAATCTGAGGTGCTAAGGATATGGTTCAGTGGGCAAAGTGTTTGCCATGCAAGTATAAAGACCTGAGTTTGAATCCCTAAAGATGGAAGACAGAAAGTTTCTAGAAGCATGAAGTCCAGCTATCCTGCTGTACTCAACAGCAAACAAAAGCCAGACCTTGTCCCAAACAGTGTTGAAGGTTGTCCTGTAACCTTCATTTATATGCCTCTAGACTCTATATGCATACACATGAAAGAAGGAGAGAGACAGAGAAAGAGAGGTTCTGGTTTTAAAATGTCAGATATTGTAAAACTGTTTCCTAGTTTCAAAACTTTCAGAAGCCTAGGAAAATTGGGAGTACTGATTGTACATTTATGCCAACAAGGAACAAACATAAATCTAACATTTTCCATTTGTTTAAAACATATAACAATATTTTAAAAAAAAACTACTAAACCATAGTAAAATTTAACTCTTTAATATAGTCTAAGAAATTGATAAATCAATTCACTTGTGGGAATCAACAGTCTTGACTTTACAACAATTGGACACAGAGCATGAAGTGTATATATATTCACATGTCTATGCATGCACATGCACAGACAGACCATTTCCACAGCCTTTGCAGCACACTGCATATCCAGAACCTCAGGGCATTACCCTGCCACAGTCTAGAGCATGCTGGCATCTTGATAACAGCAGAAGACTTAGCATCTAGTGGAGAACATAAGGATCAACTTCTCAGCTTCATTTTCTATAGGCTAAGAATTGGGACATATAACCAATAGCAACCGATATAGAAAATGTCACCTAATATTGAAAAACTGGAGGAGGAGACCTAGGATGCAGAGGAAACTTAAAACGCAAACTAATAAACTAGATGACTCAACCTACTTTAACAAGAAGTAGATTTGTAAGGGTAATACTTAAGGAAAAAGAGACTGAATTTGAGAAGGAGTAGGAGAAAGGACATGTGCAGGGTTGAGTGTAGGAGATGGACAGAAGGAATGATGTAATTATATTTAATTAAAATTTAAAAAGCAGGAAAAAAGGAAGTAGGATGCAGCCTATGTAGATGAGTAGAGAAAATAGTCTACAGAAATAACAAGATGACCAAGTAACAAAATGAATACTCACAGCCAATTGGTAAGGGGGAAAGAGGGCAAATTTTGCATTACTACAAACAGAAAATGATTTTGAAAATATAATCCATAAAGAAGTTTTGCTAATAAACATAACAATGTAAATGGAGATAGTTTAGAATGTTACAATTTTTCAACAGTAACAGAAAAGCTATGCCACAGATTCCACAACTCCTAAAACTTCCGACGTATAAAGTCTATAGTCACACAGAATGTAGTATAAAACGTGAATGGGTGCCACGTACTATAAACATCTGTAACGCAAACTTTGGAGGAAATGTTCACATTCATTACATCAGCATTTGGAAGTAGGGAGGAAGCTTAGACTCATGATTGATAAGCATATGAAACAATTAGTATTTATTTACCAACAAAAGTCAATGATAAAATTTTAACTAGAAAAAGAAAACTATGCTTAAGCTATACCTATATCGACCAAAGGGGACGTAAGATATGTACCATGAAACCGAAAATCCTAACTGGAATGCATAAAGGGATTAAATACTGGGGCGAAGGGCCATTTTCATGATTGAAAAGTTCCAATGCCACAACACGAATTTTACAGACACTTATTTACTTATGAATTCCATATGCTTTGAACAGGTTACTAAGAAAATGGATCCTAAGATTAATTTGGGCATATTAAAGGCAAAACGAAGCAAGAAGTGTTTGAAAACAACACTTAGGAGAAGAGGCCACTGTTAATTTTGAGTCGCTCCACCCACTGATATTTAAGCAATGGCTTGCCGATCATGAAACAATCGCTCTAGTAGGCTAGGATGGAGAATCTCAGAGCGAATCTAGGCTTACTGACAAGCATGTAGTTGAACAAGGAACACCCTGCACACCCTTCTGGGACATCGAGACAGTCTGATATGTAGTTTGATAAACACGACTTAAATTTAACAACTCATTTCAGGGAGTAAAGGAGTAGGTGTCAACAGGAAATACAATGGCTGAAATAGCAATAAGCCCCTCTTATCAGAGGAAAGCCAAAACATTATTGAAACTGTTTGGTAGCTTCAGTTATCAAAGAACTTATTTTATCATGATAAAACAGATTCTTACACACCCAAGACAGAGTAAAAATAAATTAACTTTAACTTTTAGTCTTCCAGAATGCGGAGAGCAATTAGAATCACCACTATAGTTGGGTGCTTAAATGTTTGCCCTGCAGTGGAAAAGATGACAATATTTAGCAAAGTTAAAGTTGTTTATGGTTATACCAGAGATTTCTCTTCTATATATTTATATTTTAAAAGCAGCAACACATTTGCTGGAACCTAACCAACTTGGTATTTTTCTATTTTTTTCTGTTTTTTAAAATTAATTGATGAATTAACTTACATCCCTATCATAGCCCACTCCCTCCTCTCTTCCCATCCCTACTTTCCCTCCTTCTTCCCCCAAACCTCCTCCCCTATTCCCCAGATAAGAAGAGCCCCCACCCCCACCCATATCAAGTCCCATCAGGACTGAACATGTCCTCTTCCCCTGTGGCTTGGTGAGGCAGCGCCATGACGGGCAGTGATCAGTAAGCAGGCAACAGAGTCCACGTCAGAGACAGCTTGGCTCCCCTTACAAGACATTTACTAATGGCAGGAATTTAAAATAACATGACCAAAGAAAACATTGAACACATTGTGCTGCCTGATTGACTAGATCTGCGTTAAAAAACACTTGCAAAGGGTTTAAGTGTAACAATAATAAATAAGATCTTGAATTATATATATAATATGATATACTGTGGAACTGTATTCTGAATAAAATATTAACTTTATTAATTAATATTAGTTAGTTATTTTCTGTCTTTGTCTATATGTTCCCCATTCCATATTATGGTAAAAAAAAAAAAAAACTCTAAATCTTTAGAAATAAGCCATAAATTAAATTACACACCCATGGTCTGACAAGGTAGCAGGATAGATGTGAAGCATGAGGGAGGAGGTAGGTTGATAACTGCAGTTTTTCCGAACTTGTTTTCAGCTTCCAGGCGTCCCCTTGCCGTTGTGGTCTTCAGCAATAGACATCACACACCTCCTTTAAGTTGCTCATACACACATTAGTAGCTCTCTCTCTCTCTCTCATGATGGTCCTGAGGAATGTAACACCAGCGCTTGCTCTGTGCCTGCAGATGGACAGTGCTATGAGTATAAATGGATGGCCAGTGCTTGGAAGGGGTCCTCTCGAACCGTCTGGTGCCAAAGGTCAGATGGCGTAAATGTAACAGGTAAAACACCGACATCGTCTCCTTTTTGCATTATTCCTGTAATGCATATGGAGTAACACATCATTGGGGTCAACAAACATGCGTGTTGTACACACGTGTGGTGGCCAGTGATAAATTATTTTGTTTCAGAATACCTCAAGTTCCCTCTTAGCTATCCCCTTTGACAATACCATTGGAATATATTTCACTGAAATACTGCTCAACTCTGTTAAGTGAATTTAAGTGATCTCCTGATTTTTCACTGGAGATTTTACACACTAACCAATTACTCTATGCAAAGAAAATAATGATTATGCCTTTCACTGTTTCTGCTGCTGTGCTTTGATGATGACACAGACCAATGGAGTATGTATATATGAACATTATCTGCATGAAGTAGCAAATCTATTATTAAGACATTTTTTTCATTAATAAGGAAGTTTTATCAATATATCCAAAGCCAGGGCATCTTAGAGGGATATTAGCTGTGGTCTCATCGCAAACAATCATTACACTTCCGAAGAAAACATTCAAAAGAGGATTTTGACAGATACCCTCAAATGACTGCTTTAATCTACACGTTCTTTGTCAGAGCCCAGTGAACTCAAGGGCTCCTCCAAGACACCAATTAAAAAGAAAAGAAGCTTCGGGCTGTGTATGTGTTGAATAGCCTGTAGCCCCACTTTGGACACATAAACACAAATTTAAATTGTTTTTCCTTAATTACCACTTTAAAATAATCCAGTTGTCAGGAGTCTCCACATCAGAGGCAAGAGGAGTATTGACTGTCAGCTGGTCAGGGTACCTGCTGGACTGGAGCTCTTGTTTCAACTCTTCTCCAAGAGAAACAAAGCAGTGTGCATCAGGGTGCCCCTGAGTAATGCCTGCTTGTGATTTCACTTTCACATATACAGTGAGATCAGAGAACCAGCCAGGATCAATGCACTTCTTGGAAAACATCAACCTTCATATTGAATTTCAAGTGACCGAGGCTTATTGAAAACCTAATTACTTATTTCCTCACTATGAAAGCCAGAACAGAATGGCAAATTATATTCTTAGGAAGGTGGGGGCTTTTTGTGTGAATAAATAATAGCATCTCCATTGAATCTAATCCATAATAGAAAAAAAAAAAACTTCTACCAGGAAACTCTTTGCTGTCCCAAGTATTATTTAGGGAAAGAAGGCAGCCAGCCCAAACTCCATTCTAAGAGGAATGGGTGATGAAAGCATAGACAAGGAAGTGAAGCCATTTTAAAACAGGTGTCCCCAGGTGTCATTCACTTAATTCAGATCCAGGAAATGAAATGCATCATTTCTTTAATGATGCATTTAAAGTTAATCGTTTCCTAAACTCTTCTAATTGATTCAATATTTTCTTTTCAAATATAGAGGCAAATAATATTTGTCCACCTTTCTTTGAACACTTTTCTTTTCCTACTGTGACTGAGAGAATTCCCTCAATGCAAAGCTAAGTCACAATTAGGCTGGTCAGTATAAATCATAGTTTAAATTTCTTTTCGATACAGCAAAGTGTGCATACAATTATTTTCTTTGTTGCCAAGAAGTCAATGTGTAAATGACCTATGACCAACTCTAGCTGCATTCTTCTCCCACAGTTTAGATGAGTTTCTCTATGAAAACAAATGTAAAGTCCATTACCTATGGGAAGGAATTGGCTTAACTTATACGTTGTCTTTATAATAAACCCATAAAACTGCTTTCCTTTCTTCTTCATATATTGAGTAGTAGACAGTTCGGGTACTAAACTGAACTTGCTTTGCAATGACTAACCGCTTTTGTGATGTCATAGTTTTTGCTGTATTACTTTTATTTTGTTGTATTTTTTTAAATGAATGAATGAATGAAAAGCTAAAAAAGTATTTATAAGATTAAAAGAAAAACAAAGAAGTGAGGACGAGAACCTTTGACTGAATCTAAGAGACTATGAGCTCAATAAAAAAAAATCATTTGTTTGGCTAGGGTTTTGTTGCGATTGTTGTGATGAGTAAAAACTGTTTGCGTAAATGTAGTCCTACCTTTGTCACCAATATTGTTTCTTTAGGACAACTGTCTCCATCTTCAAGAGTGCCATAACTGGCAATACACAGACTGTATTATGTGAAAGAAACAAATTAGAGAGATTAGTTTCAGTGGAAAGTTGGAAAATAGCTCAAGCAAAAGACGTGGTGCTTACACATTGGTCTCCCTCCAAGCATCCACAAAGTATGTGGGAGTAACAACAAGAATAGTGATTTTTCTCAAAAATAAATACGAGCTATAATAAACATATTTGCCTAATGGTCAAGTAAGTTGAAAACTTACTTTGAGGGATGTGAAAACGACTGCCATGTTGAATAGGCAAGAAAGATATTTATACAATGAAATTAAATCTGTTTGCAGTTGCTAGACTTGGCTTGAGGAAATTGGTTATATGACCTATTTTTTTCGGACTACTATCAGAAATAGGTTATATGAAATTAGTTTTTCAAATATAGTGGCTACAAAACCAGCCTCTGGTGATGCATCTTGGACACTTAGGAAGTGCTCGCATCTGGGTAAAAATACCCAAAGTTCCTAATGAAGGAGATGGAGGTTAGCCAGCCGGTTCACAAGTGCAGAACTTCTTGAAACTTCCACAGTGGTTCCAACTGTAAAGACAAGTGTTTAACAGTGTGTATTTTTATCACAGCAAGAGGAGCCATTTGTTATAACATGACTTTCTGTTCTGCAGGGGGCTGCTTGGTGGCTAGCCAGCCTGATGCCGACAGATCTTGTAACCCACCCTGTAGTCAACCCCACTCATACTGCAGTGAGGTACGTACACTTTCCTGAAGACCGCAAGTCACCTCCATCGTTTGTCACCCCACTGTGTCTGAAACAGCCCCTCCCCCTGCGCCCACCCCCCAACAAAAGCCATGACTGGAGGCAGAACCCATCTACTTCAAAGCATCTTTTTTTAACTAAGTAAACAATTCTCACCACCCTCGATTTCTTTACCTTTAGAGTGGCTTTGCACAGTGGCGCGGAGAGGCGAGGTTAATGTTGATAAGGCAGAAGCTGCAGGTGGTAAAGTCTCTTAGAAACGCTGCCTCGTGCTCTTTTTCTGCATGCGTAGTGAACCTCCCTGTCGTCCTGCAGATGAAGGCGTGCCGCTGCGAAGAAGGGTACACGGAAGTCATGTCCTCCAACAGCACCCTTGAGCAATGCACACTTATCCCTGTGGTGGTGGTTCCCACTGTGGAGGACAAAAGAGGAGATGTGAAAACCAGTCGGGCAGTTCACCCAACCCAGCCCTCCAGTAACCCAGCCGGCCGGGGCAGAACATGGTTTCTACAGCCATTTGGGCCAGGTGAAACACCCAGACACTGAACACAAAACTCTTCACACAGACTTTCCACCAATGTCGCGGGATTTGTTTTCTCAATAAACCTTTTCAAATCCATGATTATTTCTTAATCCATGTTCTCATTTTAACATTGCAGCTATCTTTACATATGTTTATTTTTGTTGTAAAAAGAAAATACCCGTGCCCAAAATTCATAGAAACTAAATTACTTCCTTAAGAAAAAAGAAAAAATATATATATATTGCTATTACTTGTCTCAAGCCCAGCCCTAAAGTTATATGCATAATGAATACACATTGGATAAAGTAATGTAATAGTGAACATAATCAGGAAAACTCTACTGTCATTTACAATGGAGATAAATAAGACTATAAAGGCATTTGGTGTTTTCAGTACTATCATACAGAGTCCGTGATGGGACACCCCTCCTCCCCCGAAAAAAGCATGAGAAATGCAGTCCCGCGCCAGGGTACTCGGTTGCTAGAACAATAAACAGCATCCCCAAAGTTGCTGTTCCCAGATCCCTCAAGATCTAAATTAGTGCCAAGTGAACAGAGGCAGTGACGGAGCCTTGCTTTCTTGATGGAGTAATGCAAACTTGGAGCCTGACCGGGCCTTGCCATACTACGACAGGTCTTCTCTGTATAGCCAGGAGCGGACTTGAATCCAACACAGGACTAAGCCTGCACACGTGAAGAAGTGCTACCCTCTACTTAGCTCACCTTCTCTCCCTAACTGGAACAGACAATACACACGTGTCTCCAGGTACAAAAAGCGTCCTACAGGTGTGCCATAAGCAACACATGTTCTGGCTCTTTCCCTCTCACCATGGAGACGATCCATGAACAGCCAGACATGGTCAACTCTATAATTCCATTAGAAACACGATAAATGAAGAAAGAAATTTTCACACCTCTGTTTATGATCCAGAAGGTAAAAGTGTTTCTCTTATTAGAGAACCAATATTGAATTTTTAAGGAGTTTTAAATATCTGTATGATTACCTTTATTCATAATCACTGCTTTTATTGGATTCTTAGCTGAAAACACAATTGAGATTAGAAAAACTGATTTGTCTGTAAAAGTATAAGGAACTCCTCTCCAGCTTAGGAGAGCAAATTATCATTAGCAACTTTGACCTTAACTAAGAATCCGGATAGATCTCCACAAATAGGAACATTTTTTTCTCAAGTTAAAAAATTCTTTCCACTTCGCCTAATAATTTCCCCCAAATTAATATATTAAAATAGTAAAGATGTTCATATTCTGACAAAAGACATCATTTGTTTTTGAGTATTTGTTAAATAATTTTCACAGCAAAGAAACCCAGTAGAATAGGACTTTGATCCTAAACTCAATTCAAAAAGAAAAAAAAAAAGAAACGAAAAAGAAGAAAGAAATAAAGAAGGAAGAAGAAAACAAGAAAGAAGGAAAAGAAACAGAAAAAAAAACAATTTTTAAATCTCCAGATTTAAAGGGAAATGATATTTAGAATATTATTTAAACTTATTCCCAGTAAATGAACCTCTGATAAGCAAAATACCTAGTACTAATTATCATTTGATGCTTTATAAATATTGAATAAGTCTCCATAGGATCATTTTTTGTCCATTAACTGTATAATACTCACATCACAATATGATGAGTATTACCTACATACTTCAAGGACAGTTCAAGAATGCTTCAAGAACACGTCAAGGATAAAGATGCTCAAAAACTGAGCTAGCCTAGTCCCTGTCATAATTGATCACACATATCAGGAAAGTTAGAAAAGAGACATTTAAAAGATATCCTTTGCTATGTTATTCTGCATGATAATCTCTACAAATTCTATTATTGTCAAAGCACACTATTTAATTGCAGAACAAATAAATTTCATCAGGTATAAAATAGTTTAAATGATAGGAAATGCTCAAATGCCCATCTGGAGCAACTTCAAGTTTTATGAATTTCTCAAAAGCTGCATTATTTTTTATCTTTGTAATATAACGTGTCATTCTAGAAATAGGTGGGAAAGCCAAAGCATATGGGAGTAGAACAATACACATACTGAATTTAAGGTAAGATTTCATATAGAGTTTAGACATGAACTGGGCATCAGAACGCAAACACAGTTTGTTGCTTTTCAACTGTTTCCATTGCTCATTCGTCTTGAATGCAGTGCTGCCTAACTTTCGTAGCTGCTTTACATTAGTGATAACTGTGCTGGGAAAGAATCAATTTGAGTCTTCAAGAGACATAGTCGTAAGTACTTGTCATGAGTCATAGTTCAAACCAGTCATATGTGTTCCAAACTGATGGAAACTAATATCTGTTCTTCTTAGATGGAAGACTGAAGACCTGGGTTTATGGCGTCGCAGCTGGGGCATTTGTGTTGTTAGTCTTCATTTTCTCCATGATTTATCTAGCTTGGTGAGTGTTTAAATATATTTCAGAATCTAAGGGGAGATATAAGATTGTTATTAAAAACTTTTTCGGTTTGACAGACTAGTGTGCAAAATATCGTGTCTACTCCATCCTTACACAAAGTTCTAAATTTAAAAACTAAGTTCAAGATTAGAGAAAGAACCTAAAGTCTACCTACTGAATCTTAGTCATTCAGATTCTGGAAATGAGTCAGGACGTTCCTGAATCAGTTTTTCAAGATTTTTCTCATGAATAAATGCCATAATATGTTTCTTTTCATGAATAGTATGTAATACATATATACATATATTGCATATGGTGCAATTGTTTGTAATATATATTGAGTTTTCCCTAGAGGAAGATGTTAGGATAATTATTAATCTTATTTAACTGTATTTGTAAATGTGCATCATTTATAAAAGTTCTAGGACAAGCTCAAAATAAACTATAATATCACTTCTGTTGTTATCAACTAAGAAATTGAATAATTTGGCTTTTACAAAATAGTTAAATACCTTAACACATCTTCCTGGAACTGTGAAACTCAAAGAGATCATGAAGTCTGATTCCAAAAGGCAGTGGGGAAAGTAGGTGGGCAATTTGCATTTACCGTTTTGTTTTGCTTGTTTATCAAAAACAATGATATTTGAAATGAAAGACTGACTTTTTTTTTCAAATTTTTCTGAATTTTCTACAGCAAAAAGCCAAAGAAACCCCAAAGACGGCAAAACAACCGCCTCAAACCTTTGACATTAGCGTATGACGGAGATGCTGATATGTAACACTAAATCCTGCTAGACACAGCCAGACTTGACCTCTTGCCTTTGTAGTAGACACCCAGAGGCCACAGTCCCAGTATTCAAATGTGTGATTTCTAAGTAACTATAACTGTGACAAACACCATCATTAAGAAAAAAAGAACATCCCGCTCCCACTGGGAATATTCAAGGCAGTACCACTGACACACAGAGTCAGCACTGAGAATTCTAGGAGATACAGTGGAATGCATGCTGTGTCTTGAGAGTTTCTGTGTCATCTTTTCTGAAATCTACCAACTGGGGGGGAAAAAACTACTTTGATCTCTAAAAAGTAGTGCGGAAATTGGCCACTGGGAAGCCAGATGCAAGACTGCTTGCAGCACAAACCCACACAACTCTGGCATGAAGAGTTCATACTGAAGGCTCTACAGTTCTATACTTAACCATAACAACATGCATACTCGATCGAATGACCTACATTATAATGTCATCATATATAACTCTTAATAAGCAACTTTTAACACTGAAGAAAACATAAGCCCAATGAGAGGTGGAGAATCCATCAAACAATTGAACATCTTCATGGTTGATGGTAGCTTCATGGTTGATTGGCCTGCATTTCAGAGACAAACTATTTTATAAGACTGTATTCTTGTCTCTCTCCAATGTGTGAATGCTGGACATGTATTAGCCTTAGAAGACAGAGTCCTCAAGTTCTGTATTTTTTAGTGGTTATCGTCTGGAAAACAAATAAGCTTGTGTTAATACATTTCTACTTTCCCTAATTTCACACTGGTTGCCTACATCTTTTTTTGCTATATGGAAGGTACATTTGCACTATATTAGTGCAGCATGATAGGCATTTAACCAGTATTGCCATAGAAACTGCCTCTTTTCATATGGGATGAAGACATCTGTGCCAAGAGTGCCGTGGAGACATTTGCAAGCTTTTGTACTCTGAAGAGCGTTAGTTCAGTCTTGATGGTAACGGGATAGAGTCTGCTATTACACCTGCTGTCTACACTCTTTCTTTTCACCACAGCTATTATGAAGTTGACAACATGGCAAGAATTGAAGCGTTGGTGTCCCCAACCCATCAACCTCCAAAAGGTGGAACCCCTTGATCGGGTTGTAGTTGCTCTTGGAAGGCTGTTTATGATGAGATTTATATATTTGTTATCTTTGTTTAAAAAAAAGAAGAAGAAAAGAAAAGAAAAAAAAAGAACTGGCTGTCTTCGTAATTTTGAGCAGATGGAAAAATAGTGTATCAATGATTTTTTTTCTAACGGAAAAAAATCAGAATTATTTGTTAGCTTTTCTGTCTTCCTAACTTGCTTTTTTCATTGTGAGGTAGACGTTCTGTCTTGCAGGCTGTAGTTCACAGTCACGGTCTTTGCCCTTTTCGTGGCTGAAATCTGAAGTAGTATGATTTCTTAAAATCTAAAATTTGAAAACAGAAGAGTGAATAATCTTGTCCAGGGTTTGCTTATATCTAGAGCAAGGGTCACAAGCCCTTTAAGGAAAAAAAAAAAAAAGAATCAAACAGAAAATTTTTCAGTCAGGTCTGTAGTTCAGCTCACAACACTGCCACTGTGCAATGGTGCCAGAGATGATGGTCAGCAGGAAAACGCTGTTTTCCAGTAGAACATTCTTTCCAACCAAAGCCAGCAGGCTCAATTACATGTTTAGTTTGCTGACATGCCTTACATTCTAGAAGTGTTTCAGAGCGAGCTCTACATCGCTGTTAGCTTTCAGTCGTCTGCTTTCTGTCTACCACGTGGGTTTAATTTCACAAGTGACAATTCATAGTCATTACCCTAGGATTGTAGGGGAAGTATTTCCATGTTCACTGTGGAATATATCTCACTTCTTCTGAAAAGGAAAGTTAAATTGTGTAGTGAAAAAGCAGTAACATATTTCTGGCAATAACTACCACAATTAGCCTCTGGTAGAGTGAGGACCAATAGGTTTTTCAGTATTTCAAACATGTGATTTGATTTATCTTAAACATGTCTGTATTGTGGTTTGGGTAATGAGGGACTTGCCTTCATAGACTGGGTGTGAGCTCCCTCTGCTGTCCATTAGAACAACTTTTTCTGCAAATGAATTCTGAGTAAGAGGATGTTGTAATTCACCCAAATGAAAATCTTTATGTATAATTCGATATGAGCAAACTGTGATAAGCATTTTTTATTTATGCCAGATATAATACACTAAGTGATATATGTCATTTCAAAGAGAGCAAATAGAAAGGGAAATTTCACTTTAAGCCAAGGATTTAATTGAGGTAAAGCACTAAAGAAGAAGGAAAGATAATATCGTTATTCTCAAACTGTAATAGTTTACACACAATATCAGAGACTTCCAAATAATCTTCAGGATGATCTGTTTTGATGAAATAAGCTCTGTCCAGTCAAAATAGTTGAAACATAATCTATGTGGTTAGCTGAAAAACTGTAACAATCTAATGAAGTGTGTATAACACCTAGCAGACTTGAGACAGGGAATAAAGTAAGATTTCTTTTCTTTTCTTTTCTTTTCTTTTCTTTTCTTTTCTTTTCTTTTCTATTCTTTCTTTTTTTTGAGATGGGATTTCTCTGTGCAATTCTGACTGTCCTAGATTCACTTTGTAGACCAATCTGGCCCTGAACTCTCAGAGATCTGCCGGCCTCTGCCTCCCGACTACTGGGATTAAAGGCATGGGCCACCACACCGGCAGTTTGTTTTTTTTTTTTTTTCCTTACTCAAGCTACACTTAAGGTATTTTATAAAATGCAATTGATTACAAGATAAGTCAGTATTCTCTTACCTAGGATATAATGATCAAATAAGTTGAGAAATCAAAAATTAAAAAGTATTGTAAAGATGGAAGATGTTTCTGAATAATTTATTTAAAACACTATATTCATGCTAGAGAAACATATTTGATAGTCATCATTAGGATAAATTAATACCATGTGTCCTATGGTCAGAAAGGTGGAAAGGAGAATGTACTGATTTGTATAATGTGGGCAAATAGGAGATTATCATATTCATGTATAGATGGCTTTTTTGAGTTTATAGGGAAATAAATCTTGAAATTTCACCAGAACTTTACTCTCTTGTTAAATCTAATAATCCAGGAGGGAAACAGTGAAAACTTCTTTGGTGACCCCTTTGCCTTCCCAAGACAGTCTATGGACAGGAAGAAAAAAAGAGGGAGGTAGAGAAGAAGGGAGGGAAAAGAGGAGGGAGAAAAGAAACAAACAAATGGATGAAGGAAGAAAGAAATGAAGGAACAAAGGGAGATTTTTCTACTTGATTTTTAAAAGAATGAACAAATGCAGACATTTATGGAGTTTTGTTGGCTTGTTCTAGGAAGAATGGCATGGCTGATGCCCCTTAAAAGGGAATGATTTGCCTATTCATCTATGCCCATCCAGCATACTGACTATAAGCTCTATTTCAAAGCCCTTTTGAGTGCAGCTTAAGCTAATTGAAAAGAAGCATCTTAAAGCATGCCTTTAATTACATAGATAATAAGGCACAAATTACTTATAAAGAGACATATTTATTGAGTTAAATACATGTAAGACACTTTGGAGGACACTTAAAATTAGTAATGGCTTTTGTATACATAGGTAACTAAGACATCGAAAAGAAGAAACGCATGCTTCATGAGAGGCATTCGCATTGGAACACATCACTGTAGATTCTTTATACGCCTGCTTAGTACTTTTCCTTGGGGGCTCTGGGTGGCAGGATATGCTGTGAAGGGTGGCAATGGTCACAGTGGCTTGGTCAGAACTGTCCAGTTCCTGGGTATTTCAGAATAAAGCCATTGCTTCTGAAGGAAGAGAGTAGCACTTTCCAATCAGTTTTTTTTTTTTTTTTTTTTTTTCCTCCTCTAGCTCACTGTATCCTTGGTTCGATGTGATGCTTTTCTCTGCCTACTCTCTCTAACTCCGTCATACTGCCTTGTCTACCTCCCTCCAAACCACCTTCCACAAAATGTGTGCAAACATTTATCAGGAAAACTGCGACATATTTACTAACTCTTCCTATGGAAACGTAACATCAGTTAGAGTATAAATATCTCTATTTAAGTGTACTGCACTTGTCCAAAGCAATGAATACAGAGTAAAGAAGAGTCATGCAGAAGGCATATCGAAAGAAGAATAAAAATAAAATCCTCGGTAGGAAAATGACAATTTTTACACTAACATTATTAGCCAGTGTTCTCTCATTCCCCCTATTTTCATCTAAAATCTTTGTTCACTTCCCACCGTAAGTAACAGTGAAAAAGCCCATACCTAAGTAGTGAACAAAACACAGCCTATTTCTGGGGAGATTTAGAGTTTGAATAGATTTGCAGAAATCATGCTTGCAGAATGTCCTGGGATCTCATTTTTTGTAAGTGTTTCCTAGTTTGAATGTGTTTGTCCAGTTTCCCATGAAGGAGGAGGCAGGCCAGCATTCCCTGAACAAGGACCCTGGAGGATCGAGTTTGGGCTTAGAGCAGAATCTCCCTGTCCTTACATGATCCCCTGGACCTACCCTCAGATGTGCTGCTGACGTCCACACTGAGGTGTAGACCAAGCAAGTGGCTTCCTCTTTGTTTTGTATTTCCTTTTGTTTTTCTTTTCTTTTTAATTGATAAGATCATTTGCCATGTGGCAAGAATCATTCTTGCAAAGACAGTGGAAAGCGGTTATGTCTGCAATATAAAATAAATAAAACAAATGTTAAACAAATAGTGTTAAATGTGCACTTCTTTTTTCTGCTCTGTCAAGCCACACCATAAATCTGAACATGTTTGAAGCAAGCCACCTTGACAGTATGCAAATACCTACTTTACTTAGACTAGAACTGGCTATAGGTTTTGCTGTTCTGTTTCATAGTTGTTTCAGTTCCTTTTCTTTCTATAGGTAATAATTTATGTATTACCTAGTTCCTGAGCCTCAATAAGCTCCCTGGCTATTTTTCTATAATCTGTTTGTGTCTATTTTTAAAAGTAAACATTCAGATTTCCTTTCTGGTACTTTTTGATGTCCATTTTTATCAAAAATTTTGAGAAAATCATTATGCATCACAGTAAAATATTATTTTATCAAATTCGTATTCTATTTTTCGTTAAATTATATGGCTCTAAGCGGGCACTCCTTTGTTAATTTAACTACCTGAATATTTATTTTGTTGGAGTAAGGAGGCAACTGTCTGTGAACCCTTTGTTAATATTACTTTGTAAATTATGTAATGTAATTTATTTTAAATTATGTATACTTCTGTTTTAATGCACAAAATATCTATGTACAAGTAACTGCAGATTGTCAAATACTGTCACCAAGCTTTATGCACTAATGTGGACGGCGTGTGCAGATGTAATGTGCTTTTCTACATTTTCATATGGGTTATTTGTAAATATCTATATTCCTGACAAACATAAATCCGGAAGTCATTTTCATTCTAACTGTGTGTGAGTCTGTGCTTTGTTTGTGTCATCTGCTTACTCGTGGATAGAAACACTTTAGTGGGTATCCAAGTCTTACCTTTCTTTGTTTTGGTTTTGTCATCTGTTTGCAGTTCCAATATAGAACGTTTGGGAAATTCAGATTTCCCTTTAAAAGTGGGCTGATGGGCCTACCAGACGAGTTGTCATGGTCCCCAGGCCTCCTGATAGTTGATCAGTTAACAGGACACTGGCAGAGGACAGGTAAAGACTACAACACAGGCTGTGTCTCCCCATAAAAAGCCAAATCTGAACGCCGGGCTGTGTTTTCTGTGTGCCGTGTACTTCCTTTCTAGCTCGCTTGCCTCTCTGTTGCACTCACCCTGGAGCACAGTACCACACAGACTAGGTCACAGTCCACTATTAAAAACCACTGTTCTCAGAATGTCACCCCCATTCCCACCTCTGCCTAGAATTCCTCACAGCAGCCCCTCCCTTGCTGGAAATCTCCAGTCATACACACCCTCTTCTTAGCAGCTCGCCGTGACTCTGATCACTCTACACTCTCACTTGCTTTTCTTTGCTTTAATCAGTGTTTCTCTAATTTCCTTTATTTGCTTATTTTCTTTTCATTTTGCCTGTTGATGTTGCCACCTCTGCTTCAGCACATGGGAGAAGCCAGTTTCTTATCTATCTTATTCCTTGCTTGGAATGATGCTCAACACACAATAAGAAGAAAAAGCTGGTGAATGCCTGATTAATGACAAAGAAAAAATGGTAAGCTGAAAAGCCTAGGTGGCTGAGCCCAAACAGAGAAAGAAATAAAGACGACCCTAGGGATAGGAGACTGATGAATGCTTCCACAAATTCCAGGTTATCAGGGCTCCCTGTAAAGAGATGGCAAGGTTCAGACACCAGAGAATTCCCCCAAAGTTCCAAGCTTTTGGTACTCTACTGTTGCCTATACTGTTTATTTTCTATTTTCACTGACCTAAAGTGAAAACTACATATTACATAGACAAACTATGTGCCATAAACAGAAGAGAAGCAGGCCAGTTACACATAAAGCTGGCATGGCTGAGGCTGGCTCTACAGAGCCAGCAAGAGCTAAGGATATTCCAGTAAGATGGGCAATGTCATTGGTTTGTAAAACCATGCTGAAAACAAGGTCTGTGGGAAAGTTCTATTACACATTCCTCTAGGGTTTAATTCAAATGCATGGCAAATTCCACTATGGCTGGCTCAGACAGCTCAGAAAACTGGAAAATGTATAAAAGGGCAATTGAAATTTAAATAAATAAATAAAAGCCTTTATTCCAGACTACAAAAGAAGTCTGATTGTACTATTCAGCTTTAAACTAATTTATTATATCAGTAATAATTAAATTATATGCTATTTGTTTCTATGCTATTTGTTTCAATGCAAAAGACAGTGGAAAAATAAAAACAAAGCACTGTGCCAATCAAAAGTGATTCCCAAACCCTCAAAAATTGCTTTGAAAGTAGAGAGAGGGACATTCAATAACCATGAAGCACACCAGTAAACCAGGGGGAAAAACGCCATTCCATGTAGAAAGTAATGATGTGGCTTCCTTGAGAAGTAAAACACATTTCAAAGTGAGAATCAGCTGGCAAGTCCAGAGGGTAATAAGAAAGACAAAGCACACATGTTCAGGGAGAGGGAGGGCCCACATCTGTTTTTTTATAAACATGGTGAGTTGACAAAGAACCCTGTCAACCATATCCCCAGTGACCCCCTCGGCTGCTCTGCTGACAGCTGATGGGTCACTGTTTGCTTCACAATTTTTCTTTATGAAAGGGATACTTATTCATAATTGCCCAAGGCTTTCACTTTTTTTTAACAGTTTTTTTTTTTTTCTGTACTGTTCCTTCACCTAAGGGTTCCAGCCCTTCTGATGACATCGTCTTGCTTCTGTGGGGTGTAGCTTGAATGAATAGATGAGCAAGGAAGAATCCTGGATGGAGAAGGGTGCTGAGTGAGCATGTCTGACTTCTGATGCGAAAGACTCTGATATCTGATATTAAAGACTCTTCAACGTTCATTTGGACAGGGTGAGGGATCACAAGATAATAAGATTAAAAATTTCCCCACAGGGATATATAAAAGATGAGACTGAGGCTGGACCTGGCAGTTATCCTGACAGAAATGCATGTTGCAAAATTATGGAAACATTTGCTCCACAATTAAAAACTAAACAGGCCTTTGCTGCAGTTCCTTCCAATCAGAGTATCATGCAGCTTTCAAAAAGAATTCCTAGCCAGAAACAGTTAAATGCAATTACGGACTCACATTCAAAGCACATTCAGCAGTAGTTTGATACAATATCTATTTTTTTTTTCATTGCAATGCCATATGGAAGAACAGCCCATTGGTATGAAAGTACTAAGAGCAAGGCCTACCCCAGAGAGCCCCGAAGCTTCATGCCTTACCAGGTCTGTTATGAAAAGGAGACAAAGGCCAATAAAGTCAATTGATGTGCTGAGGAAGCAATTCCATAGACTAGAAAACAAGCTTCACCAATCTATAACCTTACAAAGATTTTTTTTAAAGTATTTTAAAATTTCACTTTTAATTGGCAATGGAAATATTGACTAATTTAAGTCAAAAAGGAAACAATGTCGACACTGTGTTAATTGAAAAACATAGCCTTTGACCTAGTAATTCTGCCTCTCAGAACGTATTCTAACACAGAAGAAATACATGATTGTAAATAGATATATAAGAGAGGGGAGGAGAAGAGAGGTTATCGGGATAACACACAACAAACTCATGTTTGAACATTGTGTGTGTGTGTGTGTGTGTGTGTGTGCGCGTGTGTGCGCGCGCGCGCATGCGCATATGTGTAAGAGATGGTAGGTAAATGGATGGTTGCTGTAGAGTCTCCACACCATAATAATGCTACACTGATAATTTTTGTATCATGTTTATAGCTGCAGAAGTGAAAAAGCTCAGAAGTAGGCAGACATAACAAAAGTTTCAGTACTTGTAATACAGAATCGCAAGTGAGGGACTAGCTAGGTCAGAGTGGAAAGGAACCAACCGGAGAGGGGTCTGGGTGCTGTAGGGGAGAGGAAGGAGTAGGAATAAAGTGTGGTGCTTTCGGATGAAGGTGCCATGATGAAAACAACACTTTACGTTAACCTAATTTTTTAGGTTAAAATAATTTATGGTCCGTGAGTAACACGAGATCTTGTACATTAGTTTATTTAACTTCTGTCTTAGTCAGGAAGATTAACAGTGAGACATCACAGAATACACATTAACAAATTATCACTTCTGCTTTGTTAATATATATGAAACTGTTTAGTTTTTAATTTTTTCACTCGTCTCTTTGTATATCTATCTATATACTGACTTACTTTGGGGTGCTGAGGATGAAACCAATGAACATGCAGATGCCAGGTAATTGGTTCTGAGGTTTTGATCTATGCCTGACTTAACCCAGAGCCCAAGCCATTTATTCTAAACAGAACAACTGTTGATTGGAAATTGACTCACGAGTTTTGACACAGGGTGAAATTTAAGATTAGCTCTTACTCGTGCACTTGTACAGCTGACTTTAAAGGCAATTATAATTGAGGGTCCTTCTATAAAAATAAAGACAAATAATGTTAACTAGTTGTATTTGGGGAAAGGAGCCTTTTCAACCTAAGCACCTCTTTCACAAAGTAACTTTCAAAAATTAAAACTTGATGGCTCATTTTTGCTAATGCAAGATCCAACTTTGGATGTGCCAAAAGAATAACAACAAAGAGGAGTTATCTGGTGAAGTGGCAGTTGCCTGGAGTTAAACTTAATGAACTGAGAAAGAAGGCTTCTGTGACATTAGGGGGAGCATCTGGCAAAGAGGGGCTCCTTCTGTCTGTAACGGTCAGTGCTTACCAGATAATGAACAGCTCATCTGGACTCAGGAAAATACCAACATGGACACACAGAGGCCTGATAATTGTCTTCCCAATTATAGATCAATTCTCAATGTTTGGGGCTAATAAAAAAAGGGCTGGAAAAGGGATCTGAGAGTGTGCATCAAGCCCTCTGAGGAAAAGTGAAATAAATGCTCATCGATGTATCTTCACACTGCACTTTATTATAACCTGGCTGCAAAGCACAAGAGCACATGAGAAGTTTCTGTCTTCCATCCAGAACTATTTAGAAGTTGAAAAGTAATAAAGACCAAATCTCTATGGTCTGTGGAGTGTAGGTGAAGTTGGGACACTATTTACCAGATGAAAAAAAAAATAGCTCTAACGTTCCCCAATTGATTAACTAATATGATAGCTGTGAGTAAATTGTTTATACTTCAGTGTTGAAGGGATTACAGACAATTAAATATAAGTAAGCACGTGATTAAAACCGCTTGGTTGATGAAATATCTGAAAGTCTTAAGCAAATTAATAGAAGCAGAGTTAGTACTTACTGGACACAGGCAATGGAATGGAATGTCCTGCTATTCACTGTAAATAATAGTTAACCTTAATAAGTGCCAGGAACTTCAGGCTTTGAAAGACATAGCAGGAAAGAAGCAAATATATGAAACTTTCTTTCATGGAACATATGTTCTATCAAGGAGAATGAGACAAATAAGGGCAGAAAAAAATGCAATGTGCTAAACAGTGAAAATGTCACTAGTGAAACTAAAGAATGGCAAAGGCACTATTTAATTTGATGCTAGAATGTGGAGGAGAGGTCACCTGATAGGAATATACTGGGGAAAATAGTGAAGGACATGCTGGTTGAGAGAATGGAAGTAGGAAATTTTTTGTGCAAACCCAGAGAGGAAACATGATTGACTCATTTAGAGATTTGAAGTCTAATGTAGAGAAGAAAATTCTGCCAAATAATAATGGTTGGGATTTCTTTAGGAAACCATCTCCCACCATCTCATTTGACACATGCAGTTTGACAAAGCTGTTTCTACGGTAAAAGCCATGGAGAATGACTACACTGAAAAAGGCAAAACTTCAGGATCCAAACCACCCCAGCCTTCT